TTTAGATTACGAGTTTTATTGATAACACTGTTTCTCAGATTTTTCAACAGAAAACAGCCAGTGATTGTAAATGGGAGTAAATTGATCAAAACTACGTACATTAGTTACAATGATCTGAGACAAACTTATGATACAAGATTCAAGATAGTTAAGTAAATAAACAAAAAATACACTGATCCCGTAGACAGTTCGTTCAGTAAAACAAACTGTTGATAGCAGTGAGTAATAAACTTGTATCATTTTCAGAACTCATTATTGTTATTTGTTACTGAAAACAAATACATTCAGAGAGACGTTAGTTGAATGGCGGTAATCGGCAAGAAGCCCTGGACCTAGGTTTCGTGCATTTTGGGGTTCGCGACCAAGGCATATCTGCAACCTCAACAGAATTGATGTCCCACCTGAGATTCAAACCCACGTCACATAGTTTCGTAGAGACTGTAAATACACCTTGCTGACGAGTGCCAATAAGCACTAAACCTAGGTTCGGGGTTTCCTGCCAACTAGCTTTAACCAACTAACGTTTCTCGAAGAGCACCGTGCTGGTGATCCTTCCAGCTTGATGGCCGCATTGCAAAATGATCGACAGAATCCGATCAGCATACAGGACTAGACAATATGATTGGTTGCTCTCCGCTATTAATCAACCTACGAATATATTCAGAAATGAAAGGTTGGACAGACAAATACGTCGAAATAAAATTCAAAAAACAGTACTTATTAATGTGGAGTGACTTTAAAGGCCATCCTAGCAACAACTGAAGTACCCAATTAGACTTCTTTATTCTATGAAAACCTGCATTTCCCAGCCAAAATGGAGAGACCTAATTGGTTATTTCGACCGTTGCTAGGGTGGCCTTTAAAGTCACCCATTAATGTGAAGGTTTAAGGGATCCTTAACTAGTACCTGGAGTTAATGTTTGCATTTTGAAGTAAAATTTGGGTTTCAGAGAATAAATTCGAACGGTTGATTTCAGTACAAAACACCGTCAAATAGACCTTTGCTAGTGATTTTTTCCTACTCAGCAGCAGTAAATACATTATCTACTTGACAGGAGGTGGATTTAACATAAATCAAATCGAAGTTTACAATCCAGTTTATGCTAACATATGATACGATTGAGCTCAGTGGATAGTACTAAACTATTCAAAAAATCAAATTCAGCTTGTAAATCACTTTTCAACCACTTTTCCATAAGAATTATATATATATATATATATATATATATATATATATATATATATATATATATATTATATATTCCATGTCAGACTTACTGTTGTTTTTTGTGTACATGAGGCCTAGCCAAAAGTAGGACACTAACAACGAACCAATCATCTGTGGTCAGTTGAGGTCGCTTAGTACATTCTACTCGTTATTTACACATCAGGTTGTTTAGCCACTTTTATATTTCAGAAAATACATCGTAACATTTTATTTTTCATCATTCTGTAAATATTCGATGATGGTAGCGTTAGCACTATGCCACACTTTCATGAAAAAATCAAAGCATTAAAATCTTAAACCTGAAAACAATTTTACCCAATAAAAACTACCAGTTGGCCGAATTCGCATAATGCCTTCAGCTACATTCCAGCTACCACCTACCATCTAGTTCTAAAGAATGAAATGCAAAACCTATGACCTATCTAAATATAATCCATATCTAATATAAACTTTTCACTCAGATACTAATATTTGAGACACTATTCAGTTTAATTATTGTTTATAGTTTATTGCACAAACGCACTACCTCTAAAAAGTTGCTAACAATCGTCCATAACAGAAATATAACTTATGGCTCTTAGTAATGATGAGTTAACTGACTACCACAATGCTCACTTGAATAGCAAACATTACTGACTGGTAGAATCAGGCGAAATCTGCACTATTCTTTGGTCGCTGGAGTGATACGAATTGCTTGTAACTTCATTTCAAAGCAATTATTTCTTCGAACAAGAAAAAAATGACCCCTTCATCTCAAAACAACATGAAAAATAGATGTGTCCAAAACTTTAACTATTTTTCTATCCAACTTGAACATATTAATTTCATTTGACAAATTGGTACGAAGTATTATTTTCAATCATGTTATATAAACATTCCATGGTAAATTGTCCTTTTCATTTGGAATATGCAGATTGTAAACATCCTGTTTAATTGAAATTGTTGTAACCAAGGTCTATGACTACACTAAGTATTTTGTTTTTGAATCTATCGCCGCTGACCATGTTGCTTTTTATCACATTTTTAATGCAGCCAGATCATCTCCATTGTTAGTTAGTAAAATTTAAGTGACTAGTTTATGATAAACTCCTTGTGCTGTAATTAAATCTGACTATATTTGTTAGTGAATGGCAGCAAATCCAGGATGCGTGCTTGTTTTCATTTGTTACTGAATCTACCCCTAATTCAGTGTATTGAAACCAGAAGTCATCTCCATGGTGTTTAGAACGACGGATGTTGCTCTCAAGCCCAGATGAGAGCATTAACACTGTGATGCATATAGGTCCACCTAAAAAGTCCTAAATGCTGAAACTCATTCATATTCATATTGACCAGCGTTTCATTCATACTGTGGTTCATTGGTTTAGGGAGACGACTTCTAACCAATGGGTCACGAGTTCGAACAGCTCTTCACTTACTGAGGTTTGGGTAACCAGGTAGTAGCCCTCGAAAAATAGGTGTGGCTTATTGTTAAGTGCATTTCGATTCGATTCGGCTGTGTATCGTATCATTATGATCATTTATCTCACCCATTTATGATTTTGTTAAGATAATATCTTGATATGATTTTGTAACCGCTTCTACTCACTTAAAATCTTATTTAACTCACTTTTGGACATTCCTGACCTTTCCTCATGTAATACATATCTAGTTTGACTGAATTCATTACATGGACTTGCCTTTGTATTCTGAATTGCGTTGTTTTTTCTGATCTTAAGAACTCTAACTGACAGCTATCTACCTCGGTTTGACTTCCTATGTAGTATAGTATAGTTTAAAACCATATGCATAACTAAAAGCTTGATGAGTTGACTTGAGTATGACTTCACTTTGATATAAGTCCTTTTCCATCCACTTATTCTTCGCATGCTACTGTGAAATGTGCCAACTTGAACCAGTGCACTTTTGTGCGAGGTTCTACGCTGATTTTGTCCTTCTGTCTAAAGGTATATACGCATGATTTTGTAAACTCTCAGTAATTTAAGTGTTTATTTACTAATTTATGTACGTTTATAGAAGAAGAAGCACAGGCTTTTGTAGAAGCTGGTACATACAATATATCAGATAATGCTTGCTGGATTTTAGAAAGATGTGACCATACGTAAAAACAAATTCCATAAAATACACACTTATGAACTTATCGATGTAAGCTGGGTGGATTACATTCCCATTTTCTCTCAACTACAGAACTTCTTCGCAATATTGATCTTCTCTACGCAGCTTGCCATGAATTTTTTTAGTCCTGACTATTCACTTGTCTCCAGGTCTTCAGTTGCCTGATACAACTAGCATTCATTACACACCCTACTTTATTTCTGACTACTTTTTTCAGACAAAATGATTCATGCTCTTATTTAATATATTTCTAATAACTGCTATGAGCAATTAACTTGATTGCATATAGTGTTTTTGGAAATAACTACGGCTGTTTATTCTTGAAAATGATGGTAATTTTTTTCAGAAGCATCCCTGTATTTACTGTACTTACGAATCGCTGAAAATAAATGATATATATATATATATATATATATATATATATATATATATATATATATATATATATATATATATATATATATATATATATATATATATACATTTGAATACCCGAAAAAACCCAACCAGAATATCAAGTGTCAATGCAACGCAGAAAATAAACAATCTAACAACACAAGTTTAGTATTTGGGCTCAGATAAATATGTAAAGGATCTACTTCCTAGATGTTAGTTTCCAACAGGAAAAAGCATCCAGTCTCAGAAAAGTAATCAGCTGCCCTTAATGAATTCGGATACTTGATTACCAAAAAAACACTAACATTTACATAAGCGACAGGTTGGAGCTGTACCTGATGAAATAGCTTAGAAACTAGCATCTCTAATCATAAATGAATTTCTGAATGAGTAAGCATCAGTGAAAACCTACGCCCAAAAAAGTTACTCGAATTTAAAATATCCAGAGCGAAAAGAAACTAACGAAATATAGCACAATCTACAACAACCCATCGTATTGCTTCCTTAACAAAAAATTGTAGAAAACATATTACTCTGTTCTCAACAGCTACAGTATTAGCAATGGTGCAAGTCATCAAAACTATCCAAGTAATTAAGAGAAGAAATAATGCATAGAAGTGGTGTGAGGATTAAAAACGCTCAGTAGACAGTTAATTCCATATGCGAACGAGGATGGAAATAGTGAACTTAGCGTTAGGGCGACAACCGCAAAAAAACCTATAAGCACCTGAATAGCGTATTGGACCAACTATTCTAACTACTACAAAAAAAGACAAACCACTATGAGTTACTGGTCGTCATGTTTTAAGGCGCTACGTGCTGTCTAAATTAGAAGTGTAAAACAAACCCGTACATTTCGAAAATCACATTCTTCTGTGTTTGGTTTTTCCCGTTTCATGGGCTAGAACCAAAGTATCCATGTCTAAAAAGCGGATTCATTCAGTATGAGAAGAAGCTCCAATTGTTATCCAACTCCAAGAAAGTCAAATTAAATAGACTTAGTGGTCGATAATAGGACGAAAAATACTAATCTCGAGGCTCAAAAAGCAAATTCTGTTAGCAAGGTTTACCTATTAACAAGACTTCACACATAGCTAGTAAACACTCCTGGCCAGAAAGTTAATTAAGGGCGGCGAAAACATAAAATACCAGCATGAGAACCATGTTTTCACCATATAAAAACCATGCCAGGTGTCTCTGGTATCATGAAACACACGGAAGCTGTTTTTAAGCTTAAAGAATAGGTAATCAGTAGAAAAATAAGAGCAGCTAAGCATATGGATACTCTCTTACAGAAATTTATAAACGACATTACAAAAGATAAATTAAAGTGCTACTTCACTTCAGTATACCATGACAATTACATATGTGGTATACTTAGGCTAGAACACTGGTACAACACTGGTACACTGGTACAAGTAAGATTAAATACCCACTAAATACCACCTTCCTCATAGTTAAGAGGAAATGATAGGGAAAAAATTTATCCTGTCAAAATAATACATTACAAAAAAATCTTGGAAGCAAGTTACCAACTCTTCCGAGTACGAAAAATATAGTACTTTCAAAGATCCATAGTCTATAAAATTCAATTCAGTACACAATCCAAATAGTATATAATACTGCAAATCAAATTCACACACCTTCAAGTGACTTTATGTACTAATTACACCAGAGTAGTAGAAATTAGAACTAGTAACAAGTGATTAACACCTTAGTACAGTCAGTCACTTTCAACCTGTAAAAGTTCATTGTGAGGAATTTATCCCAACATAGACACCTGAAATAAAAATAACACATGGCATAGTAATTTTTATTCCAACAGATTCAATTGCAGCCTAACAAACAGTGTGATTGCTTTATTTTAAGTATTAAGAAAACGTGAGTGAAGGACATTTCTAACTGAAAACCACGTGATTATCATAAAGTTGAGCATATGCTATGAAAAAGATTAGGACAATAAACAAAACTTTTATGAAAAAGGAAACGAGGGACCTTAATAAATAAAATTAGGTTTTAGCTTGTAATAACTACACATGCAATGTTTCCATATTATAGGGTAATTCCTATTCATAACCTTCAATACAAGGAAAAAATTAGTCCTTACGGTAGTAAATCCAGCGCTATAAGTACAAGTACTATTTATCACTTTGATGAAGCAAAGTCATTACTCTTGACAAACACGCCAAAAAATATGAAATCTCACACTGAAGCCATCGTGTCAAACAGCTACACTTTACAATATAGAGAAAAACAACAAAGTGAGCACATTAGTAAAAAGTTTTCAACCTATGATTTCCAACAGCTCAAGAATATCGATATGAGAACCTAACATACTTACACTACTCAAATCAGCCGCTAGTGACTTCAGAAAGTGATAGCAAATTGTATTCACTATTTCCACCCACCCATTTTTTTGTGACTACACCTGGCTTTGGTTTAGGGGATAGCTACGAATAAATTGTGACTAGTTAGTTAATCACATCGTACTCATCAGCGTTAATCACGCCATGTCACACTATATCGCTATCAACAAACCGACTGATCATCTTTTAACCACCGTCTTTCACCATACAGTCAAGTTACCGCAAAATCAATGAACTGCTTGATATGTTAGGGCATATACAGTATATTTTCAATATACCTCATTCATCCATTACTTTGCTTCTATTACTCTGATATCTATATCTGTTGCCAACCTTAAAATCACAATAGCCTAAATGAAGAGTGGAACAGTATAGCGTATGAGGTATGATTTACAATGCAGTGATATTACGATACACACATGTTAATGATGTGTTCTTAGGAGTCTACATTTGCATTCCGATAGGATCATATCAAGCCCCGAAACCTTAAAGGTGAAAAGCATATATTCATATCTCCAAATGTAGTCAAATCTCCAAAAAGCATCTCAACATCCGTCGAACCTACGTCAATACTTAACCATTACATACAATCCGTATCATCCAACTGAGATGATAACGGAAACAAAAAGATGGTACTTAAAGTCTGTTAATGAAGTGTTCAGCAACGTATTCGATACACCTATAACATATTTACACAAAAGAAATGGAGTATAACAAAAGTGTAAAACTTTATAGCATGTGAATTTGACGGATCTTCGAAAGGGTTGTGAAGTGCTTAATATCATCACAGTCTGAGCAAAAACAACCGCGTATTCCTTATAGAGTTTACGTCATAAAAATGAAGATAAAACTAGACCAGACATTTTCACGAAACAAAATTGTGTAAAATATTGAGAAAACTTATCTGCTTATATGAATAATTAGAATGAAATCTTAAATGCAACCAGCAACTAGTAAATTATATACGACATATGTTTTTAATGATAAATCAATGAGGGAAAATCACACCACAAAACAAAAATCAGCACAGGAATACTTGCTGATGATGAATGGTATGAACAAAGTAGAAATAGGTAGAACAAGACAAATTTAAGTTTCCATAGTCCTAAGTAACTACCGATGGGCAGTATTACCGAAACACGTTAGTATGGTAGAATAGTCAGTTCTCAAAGTAGAATGAATGAATTTGTTGTCAATTCCTATTTGTTCCATCTCCATGCACTAATTTCTTAACTTTCTAGGCCTCAAACAACAAAGCATATTATTTCGCGCAACAATTACACCAAGAGTCATTAGCATAACAGTACTCTGAATTTTCATCCAGCCTACTTCAAATCGAATCAACACTGGTCGTTGAAAAAAGTGGTGAATTACGAATAAGCGCGCAGAAATACACTTTAGTGAAGACAGAAAAACCTCGCCTGGCTAACTAGTTCACTAGTTACTAGCAGGTCCTAAACCCGGATAAGGACAGAAGGTTGGGGGCATGGGGCTAGCAACCCCACCCTGTAAAACCAATCCAATCGCAAAAGAAACTTCAAAGCACAGACGAAATATAAAAAATAAACTTATTCATTGCTAGGATCGGGGAGACGAAATGACTCCAGTTGGCGACATCAAAACTCATTCTAATGGGCGGGGTGACATGAGTACCAAACTGGGATCAGACAACACAGGCAGAGAACTCATCATGGGTCGAGAAGCACTCGGTGAAATGAACGAGAATGGAGAATTGTTGGCAGACTTCAATGATTTGATGATTGGAGGTAGTGTGTACAATATCCTTGTGTTTGTACACAAGGATATTCAAAAAGCGACATGGATTTCACCAGACACCAGGACACACCACACTGAAAATCAGATCGATTTCATCTCAATCTGAAGAAAGTGGAGACGCAGCCAACCTACTGGACACAAGATCAGATAAAGAAGGGGAGCAGATGTGGGTGGTTCACACCAACCACTATCCAGTGCAAGAAAACTACTTTCAAAATCAAGTTGAATGCCTTCATAGAAGTTGGTGACAGGCCACAGTTCAAGCTGAAAGCCCAGAACAGAAACTGAACTGAAGGACGAAACTGCAAATGATATCTTCACGTCGGTCATTAGGAATATTGGGAGACACTAAGCAAAATCCCCTAGGAAACCTGTATGGAAGAATACTGGAACTCTTTTGAAAAGAGGTGGAAGGAAACCTGAGTAACCGTGTTGGGAAGGAAGAAGAAGACGAGAGACAAGGAATGGATTTCGACAGATACATCGGAGCTGATAGAGGAAGGAGAGGAAGGTGGTGAAGCAGAAGATGAACCAGTGCAGTGCAGTGCAGGGATGAACAATGAAAAGAGAAACTGAACACAACCTATAAAACACTACACTGGACAAAGAAGTGAAGAAGAGTGCACACAAAGACAAAAGACACTTCTACGACACACTGACAAGTGAAGCAGAACAGGCTGCAGGTAAGAGAGAAAGAGACCTGATAACCTTATATCAAATAACCAGGTTACTATCAGGGAGGGAAGAGATCAACGCAGATGAAACCAATGAAAGATAGTGAAGGAAACCCAGCTACCAAAGAGGAGAAACAAAGGAAATGATGAACTGACCACTTCAAAAAACTATTCAATCGACCACCACCACCACCACCACCACCACCTGCAACTCGTTCAGAAATACCACCAGCAGCCCAGCCCCGGAATTGTCAGTGAACACAAACCCTCCGACAAAAGCCGAAGTGCTGGACGCCATAAAACTGCAGAAATTCGGGAAAACAGTAGGGCTAGGTAGAATTCCTCCAGAAGCACTGAAAACAGACGCAGAGACAACAGCGGCTGAAATGCTCACACCACTATTTCAGAAGGTTTGGAAGAAAGGAAGGAAAGGTACCTGCTGGTTGATTGTAAGAAGGGTTACCTTGTCAAACTTCAAAAGAAGGGAGACCTGGATCTTTGCAAGAACTCGCGTGGAATCATGCTCCACCCCTGTCCATACCTAGCAAAACATTAGATCCCATCTTTCTGGAGAGACTACAAAATGCTCTGCATTAAAAAACCACGGTCCGAACAGGCTAGCTGCATTCAGGAAGAACAAATCATGTGCAGATCAAATTGCAACGCTACGCTACGCTACGTGTCATCATAGAACAAAGCATAGAATGGCAGTCAACTCAAATCAACCTCAACTTCATCGACTTTGAAAAGGCCTTCAACAGCGTCCACCGAGAAGTAATTTGGAAACTGCCTCAACACTACGGTTTGAACACCACAGACATTTATCAATCTCATTCAACAACTATATGAAGACTCCACATGCCAAGTGATTCACAACACAATGGAAAGCTCAGTGACACCTTTGAAGTGAAGACAGCAGTAAGACATAGCTGCCTACCATCACCAATGATCTTCGTGACTGTGGTCGAATGGACAGGACTGGATCATTCAAGAAACCATGAGGAGCGAGAAGAGGGATATACGCTGGCTGAACCGATGAAAACACCTCAGGAGAAAATTGGGATTTAGCCAACGATGATGATTTATGTCTAATGACTTATGTCGCACAAACTCGAAGATCTAGATGTAAAAACCAACAAGTTGACAGAAGGGGCTAGGCAGAGAGGACGGGACTTTAAGTGAATGTAGAGAAGATAGAAGTGATGAAGATACCCAACCAATGCCACCACTACCACCACCAACAACAACAAGCACCAATCACCATGAACGGGAGAAATCTAAAGGAAGTAGTCTCTTTCACCTACCTGCCTAGGCAGTATCGTTTTAACTATAGGCGGCACAACCACAGACGAGGACGCCATAACCAGGATTGGAAAAGCAAGACAGGCTTTCATTAATCTGAAACCAGTGTGGAGATCTACTGCACTCCACTCAGCATAAAGCGTGAACGAGATCCAGATTTTCAACGCTTAATGTCAGTCAAGTCAGTGCTTCTATGTGATGTTTGAGAGACTTGGAGCGTCTTGGAGCATTTCCAACAAACTACAGACACACATCAACAGCTGCCACCTACGCTCACTCCATACTGAAGATCAGATGGCCAGAAAGAATAAGCAACAAAGAACTCTGGAAACGAACCAACCAAGAATCCATCCCTCCACAAATATGTAGAAGAAAGTGGAGATGGATTGGGCATACACTGAGGAGACTGTTCAGGGACATCATGCACCAGGCACTCGAATGGAACCCAAATAAGAAAAGACAAGTTGGGCGTCCGAGGCGAGAGTGACATGGAGGAGATGGTGTGAGGAAGAAATGAAAGCTTCTGGGCAGTGGTGGAGCCAGGTTCAAAAGACTGCACAGAACAAATCTCAATGGAGACGTGCTAATGAAGCCCTATGTTCCACTAGGAACCCAAAGGAGAAATGATAAAAATAAATAAAGATAGAAAGATCGAAGTTCCAAGACGTAATTCGTACCTACAAAGCAGAGGAAGTTATTTTGCGATAAGAAAATTTTTAACTACAGAAATATGAAGCTCCTGCATTTGACATTGAAAATAACTAAGTTGAAAGAAAACCAAATCTGTCAAAAGTAAAATCAGTGAAAACAGATGGATAACCTTTTGCCGTAGTATCATATACACTTACATAGTAAGTAGCTCGCAGCCCATCAAATAAGATAGATTGAGTCCCTTATTTTAGTAGAAACTTGGTATTTCATACCTTAGCTTTGGAATAACAGAGACTTTACTGCTGAAAATGAACAAATAGGCTTAAACGAGTATCATATATCAAAATAAGGCTCCTACAATAAAGTAGACCAGGTTCTGATATTTCCTTGTAGAGTCATTCACATCATCTTGTCCACCAGGATGGGTAAAACACTCTCTATCACAATGAAATCCAAAGCTGACTTCACAGAAAGTTAAGTTAAAAACATTTATCTTTCTACAACAAACGCTATCATGAACTTACACTGAAAGAGAAGATAAAAAAAGCCCTTAAGAATATCGATCTTACCTCAATACTGAAGTATCCTCTATCAACATAATCTCCAAGGAAGAGATATCTCGTTGTTGCGGATCTCCACCAACTTCAAATAATTTCATAAGATCGAAAAAACTGTCCATGAATATCACCACAAACTGGAAAGTAAGGTCAACAATTGTGTTGAGGAACAAAAAGACATCATTAATTTTCAATTTGACTCGAGAAAGTAAGATAACTTTATAACACTGCAGACAGTGAACCTTCACCAAATGAAGCGGCTGAGCCAGATGTTTTAAAAGGTAAGCCACTACCTACCGCAATACACGATTTTGCATCAATTCTGATCGCAAGAAGGTTAACTGTGGCCCTATTTAGATAAACCATCAATTCACAAATTCACCAACTTGATCTAAGTCACATAAAGCATACCCTTCTTGCCTGCATTTTTTGCAGTGTTACGAATTAGTAGTTGAAAAAGATAAATGAGAAGGCTAAAGTCGACAATAATGTCACGAATGCATGTATTTTTTGTCTTAATTTAAACCGTGAACATCTAGCGGTAACCATCGCTATTTGTACCTAGCCCATCTATATCTTTTTCAGATTACCTTAATGTAGTTTCATTTCTATCAAAATCCTTGCTGCATTCGACTTCATAGCTTAGTTAGTCCAAGAGACAATTTTGAACACCATCCTTAAAGGTTTCTTCAGACAGGTTGTCACATTAGGTCGGCTACCAATGTCAAGAGTTCCGAGTCGGTATACCAACACAAAAGATCTGTTTAGTTTGTTACAGCATGATGGGAAATCGAAGGGTGTCCAGAAGTCAGCTGAACTGCTTCCCATTGTAATCCACCGATCATTCTAGTCATCTAAGGGCTTATCACAAACTCATTCTCAGCAGGGACAATCACACCGACCCTCACCTTTTTCAGACACGTTTATTCATCGTTCCTAAACAGTTTCTAAATATTACCTGACTTTGGTACATCCTCTATCCATTTCACTTGCGCGAATCGCCAATACTCGATAACGTTGCAAAGACTGCTATTTAGTTTGTATTTGAGTTGTTCTTATTCTTCATCGTGCTGCAGTAAAGGAATAATTGTGTATTTAGTCATTTATTTTCAGTGACAGTCTAGAGATGTACTCGCTTTAACCGATTATCAATTGTCAGTAACTACTTATCACTAATACTATCTCCGAAACACAGTCAATATAATATAAGGCTGTTAAAATAATCAATTTAAATCTGCGATAACCATCTGGCTACTCCCACTGTTTGAGCATATTTGATATACTCATCGTCAAACTGAGCATTGCGAGACTTTTCAGATAAATTGCTCACATGATTGATACGGCGTGTGCTCAAATTATGACTAGAGAATGATCAGAGAGATTCGAATAACCCTATCGTTTTTATTTACTTTACCCAGTTAAGAACAATGGTATTTTAATGTGTATAAGTGAAACACTGGGCTGGAAACACTGGTCGTTAAGCTGAGCTGACATAATCCCAAAACATTCGAATGTTTGTATGAATTTGAAAAAGACGATCTATTCACAGAACCGAAAATCTAAGTGTTTAAATGGGATGCTTTCTGAATAAATCATCCTCCTTTATTGAGCATTTAGTTAAATGCACTAGAGGCGGTTGTACTCAATCTTCATTTCTGAATTTTGTAATGAATACGATAATAATCCGACCTACTTTAATTGATTCTTCTGTTGATTTGCTTTCAGTTACAAGTAAGCTGACATTCGATACACTACACTGTGGTTAGATACAATACCACTTTATTCTGGTTCACAAATATGTAATAAAGTTCATCTCCTACTTAGATAGATAAGATCACCACGCTTCGGCAGCCTGTGGAACACAGGCATACTTACCGGCGACCGACGTCCGCTACATTTCTTACCTGAATGCGAAATTCCACTCTGTTGACCACGAGATATTGTGGCAGTGTCTGACTGTGAAATGAGTACCCAGAAAGTGTGTAGCACTAATCATAGCTCTGTAATCAAATGCAAACACTCGTTTAAGAGTTTATGGAGAGTTGTCATCCAAATTGATGAAATGATTTCACAGGGATTCATCTACTCCCTGAAGGAAGTCTCTTGACTTCGAGAAAGCAGACAAAATTGACATGCTAAGTGAACACGCTGAAAAAATGTAGAAACTCCTGGTCACCTTGAGCAGAAATCTGTCTACATTTGACAAGCGTTTCGCCCCTGCAAAATGTAAGATGATGCTTCAGCACTGGTCTGGAGGTACTCCCTGTCTAAGTATACGTAATGAAGTGGTCGGATGTATTGACCACTAAACTCAATTGGAAAGTTACATCAGACCGAACGGGGTGGTTGCTTACGAGACCTCGGATCAGATACAGAAGATCTGTTTGGCATCTGCCAACTTGCGTCATCTCTGGTACTAATTGGTGCGACAGCCGACTACCTATTAAAAGACTAGTATGCTGTACTCAAGGCCATTCTGTTCCGTTATACGGCTGACACAGCAATAAACAAAAAACGACATGAAAAACTACAACTTTTTGACCATGTTTCTTCGTAGCATTGTCCATGTAAGTCAAGATTATCATATGAGTACTATCGAGGTTAAGCGAAGGTTTCTAAGCGAGACAAGAAAGTCGACCCATGACGTTGTCAACCTTCAGCGACTGAGGCGGCTTGGACATGTGTTGCGCATGCCACCCACCTTCGCGTACAATTCTACCAGAAGTTGGAATCGATTAGATGGCTTACGGTGGCCAGACCAAGAGGTGGCAACAGTCGATGAAGTCCTTGACTATTGCTTTGAGCCGTGTAGATAGGTGTGAACTCCCTGGTTGGGGTCTCCGAAACATAAGAACCAACGGTTGCAGACTTTTGATAACATGGCTTAAAATCCAGCACCATGCAATAGATATGTATTCACTTTTTGATGTCTTCCATAGCTTGAAAACTTTAACTAGCCTCGTCAAATTCCTCCAGAGAGACAGAATCAATGTAGAACCTCACGCAAAAGTGCAGCAGTTCAGGTTGCCACAGTAGTATTGTAGTGGGCGTTGCGGATAAGAATGGATATAAGTAGTATATGCTGAGAGGGTGGGAGAAATCATAGGGAATTATCAGCAATGGGTAAGAATTCCACCAGGAGAAACGCAAGGGACAAGGCAGGCGAATGAAGAGCAAATGAAGAAAGGAGCAGAAGAGGAAATGGAACACATTTTGCAAATGACGGCTTTAGTGCAAGGTGTACCATATTTAACGACTACTGTCCCACTTGTTGACAATAAACATTCCATCCTATATACCTGTCTTTTGCTTCTTCAGTATACAAAATACAAGTGGATAAAGAAAGACTGATGTAATAGTAGAGAAAGTAGTGAGATAGATCAAGTAATTTGAAAATAAAGGTTAGCTCAAATATTCGAGCTTTAGGTGACTTCAAGGAGTGAATACATCTGCGCAACTGTGACCGATTTTCAGCCATTTCATCGGGAGTCCTTAATCACTCATTCCTATCTCCACGATCCCAGTCATCCAGTATGCACCTGCCCATGCAGACCAACAGTCAGGGGCTTCACCAACTGATACCACGTCTTGTTCTGGCCATTCTGAACCATCCTGCAGCCTAATTCAACTTACTCTAGCACGCCGCGTTGAGGTAGGTGGAAGCTCGGCATGCACAGTACATGTCTAAGCCATTTCAGGTTCTTAAAGGAATCATGAATTTATCTGATGTTAGTGACTGTGAATGGCTTCCTAACTATCATCATTACATGTCTAACATCCAGCAAAAGAGTTTTACTAAAGCAATTATATCAATGAATCTTTCAAATTAAAGCACTATCATACTAAAGAGATAAGAAAGTAACTATTTCCAGAATTTCAACCGAATTCCAGGTTACCTACAAAGAAAAGGACTAATGCGATATATACTTTATGAGTAAATTTAGAGCCGCTGAAAATTCTATAGCGAAACACAACGTTTCATTCTCATTCCAAAAAAATGCAATCAATGCATAAACATTTTTCCAAATTACAAACTGGATCGCAAACGAAAAAGTGTCGACTAGTACTAACCAGTAACAGGTGCATCAATATCCAAAACTGTATTTTCCTCTCTCAAAAGATCGGCTCCAGCACGAATAATTTTCAGGGCAACTTGTTCCGTAACTCGACCTTCGAGGATAAAATGCTGTTTAAGTTCCTTAATTCGGGTTCTCCTTTGCTGTCAAACACTTCTTCTATGGTCAAACGGTGGGTAGGAGGATGAGGGATACCTATGTGTAAGGAGAATTGTAAAATTATCGGTAAAAATGTAGTTTAGGATTTTTTTTTCAAGTATTAGAAGTTGAGTCAGTAGTTTTAAAATATAATTTATGGATAAAAAGGAGTAACACCTTATTTCACAAGGTAAAAACTAGAAGCGAATACGATCTTTTAAACATTCTAACATCAATAAGCTACTTTAACACGTCAGTGGTTTGAAAATGAGCCACAAACATAATAGTCTTCTAAGTATGACTGTGAAATAAACACTATTGTCGTTTGGCTGATAGCAATCAAATGAATAACCAATACAAACGTCTATCTGTTAATTGCAAATGTAACACACTGCCCACAAACCACACAAGGTATCTCATACCGTGCCGAAAATTGATTTTTATTTGAAAATTCGAGGATATACAACAACAACCTAAAAAACTTTCTACGCAAGATAGTAGTTAAGTTAACAAAAGTCAGACCCAAGAAATAAATCTTCAGATTGGTGACAGAGATGCTAATATACACTTACTTTACCACGAGAATTAACCATTCCGTTTATCTGATACTGCAAGTGGCTTTATAGTTTCATCATCACATTCTCTTCGTCGTGGAGCCGTGGCTCATTGGGTTAGGCAGCTGACTTTTAACCGGCGGGGTTCAAACCCCACCCCAACGGCCAAAGTTTAAGCAGCCAGGTAGTATAATTAGCCCTCATGCGACAGGCTCAGGTCATTGTCAACTGAACGAAAATGCACATGGTTGCTGAGTAACCTTTCGATTTTCATTCCGATTCTGTTGATTTATAGTTACTTTCAGTTGTAATAACTTCAATCTACAAAGTATTTTAGATGTGGCTGCACTTTTATTCCTGTGTACCTGACCTCCAATTGGTGGTAAACTATTTAAAATTGTATTTCATTTAAAAAGATGCCTATAATCAGTTAGTTTCACTCGACTTAACACACCGTGAATCACAATCTCAAACACAATCCTGTTGCGTTGCATCGTAGACAGAATTAGACGGAAATGGTTTTGATAAGTTACCTGAAGGTTGCTAACTGAATGGTTGAACAAACAATCCTCAACAATGAAGCAAAAGTTGAGCATAAAAGGACTATCAAAACAAAACTTAACAGTTCGGTTCTTGCTAAAATATGTTAAGAAACGAACTGCTCATCACGTCGGAATTTTCGACTGGTTTACAGTTATCAACAGGAAAAACGGTCTTTATGAGTACTAACAATATGATGACAAATAAAATGTACGCGCAAATTACAGTGTTGTTCCATTACTAAAGCACCATACATTTGTTCAGTCCGAACCTTCAGTGAGATGGCTTGGACATGTGTTGCGCATGCCACCCACCTTCACGTACAATTCTACCAGAAGTTGGAATCGATTAGATGGCTTACGGTGGCCAGACCAAGAGGTGGCAACAGTCGATGAAGTCCCTGACTACTGCTTTGAGCCGTGTAGACAGGTGTAAACTTCCTGGTTGGAGTCTCGGAGACAACAGGAACCAATGATTGGACACGCTTGGTGACATGGCTGGAAATTGGCCACAATGTCGCAGACGTATTTATTCTTTGTCATCCTCCAAAATTCAAATATTTTTACGATTCTACATTTTCCAAATTCTTCCACTCACACGTTTTTTTCTACTTTAATGTTAATCTTCCACTCACTTTCCTCTTGAATCCTACCACAGTGTGGCAACTTGAACCGATGCACTTCGGTTTCTCTGCTAGAGTGGGAAGTTGATCAGAAACTCCACAAATTATTTCAGGTTATGTACCCAAAAACACAATTTAATAGCTACTGCAAAACAAACTACTTCGCACACTTTAAAGCTGTAGTATGTAGGGTAAAAAGGAAATCCGTTCAGATACCTTGTGCACATTCGTGCAGTAGGCAGTGACCATACCTCAGTAGGTGGGGCGCTGTTCAAACCCATGACCATCTGTAGGGTCTAAAATAAACATAAAATACCAATCTTTATGGGTATTAAAAAAATATTCGACTGTCTCGAGGTCAAACTTATTACTTTCTCCCACGAAGTTTGGATGGCAAACCTAAATAAGAAATAATGTTATACTATTGTCGACAAGTAACTGAAAAACCTTTATGCTGAAAACGCTTCCCCAAACTAAGCCTGATTTTGAAGGGGTAATAACAATAAATACAAAGTAACTGAAAATATGTGCAATTTCAAGTACTGGATTATTAGCCACACTTATTGTAAGAGATGATACTACCTGGCTCCACAAACTCCATGAGTGGACAGTAGTTCGAACCCGTGACCTGTTGCTTAAAAGTCATCTGCAAAGAGCTGTGAATCACCACTTCACTCTGTGTTGTAGAATAATAACACTTTACTAAATCCAATCCACAAGTATAAACAAAACACTAGCGTTTTAAACAGCTTATAAACATGTAGCTTTCTAAACCAGATAGGTGTTATCCACATTTGTATGGTAAACTCTCCGAAGTATTATGTTTCCATGAATGACTACTTAGCTACCTACTACGTTCCCAATCAACGTCAAGCAATATAGAATATAGCGCTTGTCATCCTGAAAAATGATTAGAACTATTCCAAACTACCACCGTTACTGCTATCACTCAATACTCAGACAATCAACCGTGAGTTTGTGGACTAGGATCGAGCAGGATCGCCTATGGTTCTCAAGACGAGTACAGACCTTACTTAGTACTGAATGACAAATCAAAATACTCAGCAGCCAGTTAGTAGTGGTTTTAGTATGCGCTAGATACACAAAGATTTATTTATCACGGTAAATTCTGAGCTAGTTATGCTTTCTATCTAAGGGAAACTTAAAAATGGTTTTACAGCTATTGCGAACATATCGTGGTCTAACTGAGTCTTATATATACATGGCCTACAGATTAATAAGTCTAGAGAGTTATGTGATGAAAAGTAACTGCGAACTTACTGCATTCTCTATGCTGCTCTAAAATACAAAAGCCAGTCAAAACAGCATCACCGATACTTTCTTCTGTTGTTGAGTACTGGGCACACGATTGAAGTGAATATATATGATACACATATTTGACTAGAAAACAATCTCCACCTTTCTTTCATGCATCTTTTATTGTCCCCTACATTAAACAACTGTTTGTTTCGGTCTCGAAAGTTTTTCATCCTAGACAAAATGGTGTCAATAACTTTTTGTTGTGTTGGTTGATATTTCTGTTGAGGACTTTCACCGATTCAGAGAATCAGTACATAGTTTCCGTCCCCTTTAAATTCAGTATCTGTGGTCTTGAACTCATTTAACACAACCCCTAAAGTGATATCTTATCCCAAGTAATGTGATAAGCTTGTGCTTCATATAGTTATCCTTTTCGAGCTTGTACGTACACAAGTAGCACTGAACGAGAATGGGGAATGTACTCATCAACTGAATTTTGTTCACCTGTTGCCGGGAAGATAATTTTCCCAACTCTAAATGGATGATTTATTCCTGAGCAATCAATGCACAGCGATATGTTATCTACCGAATTTGTAACAACTGTCCATTAAGATTATCGATTATAACAGTGTAAGTCTATTCAAAAATTGTTTGCTGTCGATAACCTAAATCACAACGACTGACTCAAGAGGAAATAACTTCATGTAGAAACAATATTTGCAGCAACTACCATAAGACAAAATTCATGCTTATTTAAAGGGAACTTGGACTTCGATAGTATCGTTGAGTAATTTCATCAGACGATAACCTGGTGTAGCATAAAATTTGGTTCTCAACCTGCTGAAACAAGTTCTAGAGTACAAAAATTAAAATGCAGACCTAATGGTTTCATTCATAACACACGGAGACAGTAGATTTACGAAAGATGAGCAGCAAATGTAGCCCAAAATAAAAAATGGGTTGTAAAAATGAGAGTAAAAAGCCCTAAAGGAGGCAAGGTCAAAATGTCCTCGCACAAGCACATATGGACGATTCCTACTGACGGATACATCACCTAAGAGCCATATAAGCCTTCACATATATTTGATTGTGAAGAATAACTTTTGATGCATTGCTGTCTTAGTGAAGGCTTCTAGATTCAATTTCCCTGCACTTGAGATTCATCAAACTTTTCGAATAAGTGGTAGTGGTGTCTGGGTAGGACTGCAAAATAAAACCCTATGAAGTCTTGGATGATGCTGCATCAACTTAAGTTAACATTTCTTCAAATGAATGTGATTTTATGCATTTCGGAGAATATATATTTGCATTTATATGATTACATAAAGCTATAACCTTTAAAATCAACCGACATTAAACTCCCACTGAGAACGCGTATCTCGTTGGCGCAGTGAAATCTCTAACCAAAAGTTACATTAGGTTATGAAGGAAATGAAAACGTATGGTTGTCATAAAGGTCAGAAACACCTACGTAGCAGGTGTGTAGAGGTCACTAAGACAACCACGCCATAATTCTAATGTTAACTGGTAAAAACTAAACTCAGAAATGGCATATGCTAATAGGTGTTTGTATTGTAACACTTACTGTCACGTAATGCAACACGAAACCGAACACCATAGGACCGATTAGTCTTTACTAGAAAAGCTTGGAAACATGGGCGAACGTAATAAAGTAGGTGAAATATTTGCCCCACTCCTCATATCTCACAACATGAATGACGGTCTCTAGTTAAAGTAACAAAATGTAAGTGTGAATATTGAATTTAAAATCATGCATCCCTAATGGGTTGATTTATGTTACTAATATCATACAAGCTGGGAACAGAAATGATGCCAATTATTCAAATCATTAAGGACCAATAACTAACCACTAACAACCATATATATATATATATATATATATATATATATATATATATATATTCAAAACTTAACCAAATTGCAATATCAAATAAAAACCTCACAATTACTTTTTACAACTCTGTCTGTGGTAGAATTACTCGCAGCTGAGGCATTTGATGTCATTAGTAGTGATAAACGACTTCCAAGTTAGGAATATAAACGCTGACCAGAAATCTCTAAGAGTAAAAATGTCTGGCCTTATCACAGCCTTGAAGGTCTAGGCCAACTGATCACATCTGTTACTATGGGCGCCATTACAATGAGATGAACCTAGGATAGAAAAAGGTTGAGAAATTCAATGTTCATTGACTTTCCCTAAATTTATGAAACATTCTTAGGTAGCAGCCACTATTATATGTTACTGCTGATGTAGAAAACCATGTGAAATATACTTAATTCAATTGACAATAATGTGTTACAGGAACTTAGAAAACTTTATCAGTTTCCAATTTTGAACCTTACATCACTAAGTTTGGACAGTTGACTTGTATTATCAAACCTCTGTTGCATTCCGGAACGCTCACTGGGCCGCCAGATCTCCTTTCTCGCTATTTTCCAATGTTCTTTATTAGCTCAGAGGATTACCACCGTCAAACGTATGCGCACCTTATTTGCCTGCCTCTTCAACATCCTACAATCAGGCCTTTTGGAAAAACTGTCGTAGAAAATAATTCCTTGAATTCAGTAGCCTATGATTCGGTGGCATTCAGCGTTGGCGGTTACTTCCATGCTTTGAACTGGCTGTTTATGCTGAAGACACCATCAAGCAAGTTGCTGAATTACGCTGCTTTGCTAGTACGCGATCCTCTAGCCAGATAGTCAAGGCTTCTTGGTCTTCCGGCACCATTCGTCAGAAATGCTATTCCTACCTGGCTGCACCAGTGAATCCATACAACTTTCTGTCTTAATTGTTTGCAGTCCTACGGCTTTTCACCAATTGAACTGATTAGCAGTAGGGGTTTCCATATTTATGGAATAGGTATTGATTCACTCTTGTTGGGCTTGTCAGGCGGTAAGTCAACTTGTACAGACTGAGGGCACAACCTATCCCCACCAGATGACAACAGTCTTTCATGATGCCACTCTGCCCAACCATATTATGTGGTTGTATTTTGCCACGTCTGTAGCTGTGGTTGAATTCTCTTCTAAACTGCTCATCTTAGACGGTTTCTTCTATCAAGACTCACCTAGGTTCCTATGTTGTGCTATCACCGTGTGCAGTAAAACAGACTAATCTAACGTGGAATTATACTCCGTCACAATGCTCAAACTCTACGCCTACATTAAAAAGAATATTATTAATTGCTGACGCATGAAAATCCACTTCCGTTTAAAATTGTCCGATGATCGATTCACAGCTACCTCCTAAGGAAAGGACTGTCCATTTCGCATGCACCTAACAAAGGTTATCTGGTGTGCTTTTGCGTCTACACATTCACGTTCCAGTTTACAAATAATCCTCCTATATAAGGCTTAGGACCGACTTCTAATAGTGGGTTATGGGGATAATGATTGTAAGTAAATTTTTACTTTAAACGATATTTCGCAGCTATGCTCCGCCCTTCCTTTTCATGCTCCATGGTCTTAAGATTAAATGCACTTGGGCCAACCCAACGTGGTTCACACCTCCGTCCAGTGAAGTTTGTAAACAGGTTTCTTTTTACTACACCCAAAGAGGAAATGGTTTGAATACCACGACGACCCGAGGACCAAGTTGCAAACATTAATGAACATTCAAGCTGCGAATTACGGTGACCGCTTTTCGTTTGTCGCCCGCAAAATGCATGACACAAACCTGACAGGGCCATCAGCCCCATGCGAAGGTTGATGCCAGAGTATGTCAGGATCAGTTTCAATAAAAGAAACACGTTATTATTTCTTAATACCGCGGTTCCAGCTATGAAGAATGGCTCGCCATAGCTAGTCGAAAGTGAATTTTCTTAGGTCTGTTGATATGAGTTTTTCACGTCTTCCTGGAAAAGATTAAGATCTATTTTCAAATCATAAGCATACGGCAGTGCATAATATAGGCGGAACCACAAAAAGCCATTATGAAAAACTGCGCCCAGCAGTCTTTCCCCAGATTTCGTGATGTAGCATCACACACTCCCCAAAAATCAACAGCCTGGGGTTTGACAACTTTCGACATTGATGCCGACCTTGATAGTTTAACTGGACTTGCCAAGCTAAAGGCACCCGGTCAAGCATCCTCGCCATTTGGCACGCTGTCGTGTTACGTTGCATTGCTCGTATTCGACTCTCTAGCCAGTTAGTTGGGACGCATCGGTATTTTGGCACAACTATCCAAATATACTATTCTACCAGACTACGCTATCGTGTTCTTCCTTGGTCTCGTATTCGTGGGTATATAGCAAGTCCGGATAATCAGTGATTGGTCTTTGCGTCTGTCAAGTTCGCACCAGGACGAATCCTAAAGTAATTAGAATGTTCCTTTCTAAGTTCCTTGAACATAGGTTTTCGTTTACTTCCCCGAGATTTTATAGATCAGTGTCGCGTGTGTTGTAATCTTGTCCTAGTGATACATTCAAAAGTACCGACTGTGCACTTTTTTTGACCTCGTTAAATGTCCTTCCATAACAATTTCGGAGTTTTTGTTTCGATTGGTGTCACTAGTGCATTTTGCGTCAGCCGGAACCTGTGGCAGCTGCTAAAACTGAATGTTTGTAACTAAATTTTGTACATGCATTTTTCTGTAAAGAACAGTTTTCACGAGGTTCACGCACTATGTGAATATACATTCGCTGCTTGCTCATCAAGTCTTTTGGATTTGGTTGGTCCCGCTTTAAGGTTGGAAACTCTGGAGATCCATATCTTCGGTACACGCTACTAAGGGGATTCGCCGTAACAATCGCCACTGAACAATGATTCTTGTCTGATTGGCCTGTTCTTAAAGTCAAAGAACATACAGGATTACCTACTTCGACAGCCGTTCCAAAGGAATTCATTAGTAAGGACTCCTGGCTTTATGAACTGCTTCCTACTTTTGCGTGCGGAACAGTTTCGAAAATTCATATGAATACAAAAAATGCCACTTCCGTATCACATGGCAATTATTTCAGCGACACTGCAGAGTTTCTAGTGCTTCTGGATGTTCACGCTTCAGTTTAAGAGGAGCTCAAAAAATTCGGAACAGGGGGATAGAATGAATGAAGAATGGAAACTTTCCCATCACTTTACCTAAAGTGATTGAATGTACCTAGACCTCTCGTGGCATGCTGTTGACTTACATACCATATTTGTGAAAAGCAAAACCACTGAACCTGTGCCCCAATATTCTTGCCATTGCTGGCTTTCTCTGACTGCTACTTTGTCTGCTTTTTTCTCGTTGTAGAAAGGCGACTCGGTTCTTAATGTTGGCTTGGTCATCATCGCTAATTAGGTATTTAGGGAAAAGACCTTGGCTGAAACTTCCCTTCATGGGTGGTAACCAGCTTTACTGAGTTCACAGTAGCTAACTGCGACAAACAGAAATAAAAAAATGTCCACTGGACTGCAGCTTCACACCTACCTAAATCTAGGACTTACTCATTATAAGTTATGAAGAAAATCCAACACTTACTGACCACAAGGCTCTTACGACCAGCGGAAACGGCGGACAAGACGTCCTGGAAGTCCACTTGGCCCACTCAAACAAGTTTATACCGGAGTTTCAGAAGTCAGGAGATTTGGACTTCAGCCGTATTACTCATCAAGATCATAAGTCTCTGATGTGGAATGCTTTAACATGCATGAATTAAACAGTTCTGGAATCATCAATAAAGTACAAGAAGCAAACAGTTTGTGCATATATTCTCTCATAAACTTTTTATCATTATCTCAAGCAAAAAGTACGAACCGCCACAATGGAAGTATTAGCTTCAAGCCTCATTTTTCTCCAGGTAATACATGTAGTGTCCGCATACAAACCTACCACACCGGGACTACACAAGTAAAAATGCACCTCATACAATGAATTGTATCTTCTAGCGGCAAAAGGCGGGGATTGAGACTACCTTCCATTAAGAAACGTGTAATTTATATAGAAACTTATTCATACCTGTAAAAATTTCGTGTGTCTGTACATTCAGTAATAAATAATACTATTATCACTTTGTCGCAATTCAACTACACTTGTATCATATGACAGCATGCCATTCTTCCAGCACTTCCATTTGAGTCAAAAAGTCCAGCAAGAAAAACCATTCGTGAAACACCAGTAATTCCGACTGAAATTTAGCCACGGACATCATTTCAGACGCGTTTTACGCAGAGCGTGAGCCTAGGTTGCATTAATTTCCATTTCAGGTTGCTGGTTTGCTATGGTTTACTTCAGTCCTAATGACAGTTTCAGTCATTTAAGCTGCTGTACTACAACCTTTGCCTGATGCGAGCAAAGTCGAACTTGCTGTTGTTCATAATCTTTGATGCTATTATTTTGCAGTCTCTGAATTGAGTACCCATTTCAAATGGATCATATTGTGATCGATACATGCATCACCAGCACTCAATTCACTAAGTTTCTTCCTCATTGTTAGGAAGCACTGTCTTTCAAGTGCTCGTTTCTCTACTACTCCAACAGAACAACTAAGGGCGCAGTGTTGTTCAGAGCGTGTTGATCGTTGAGCCAGGATTTTAATCGGGAAAAATTTTAATGTCATGCCAGACAGCCATCGGTGTATGATAGCTCCACACTGAAGTAAGGCGATAGATTATACATGGAAATTCATAGCATGCTCATTTGCACAGCGTAATCTGACAACCACTTCGTAAGTGAATAGGGGTTTGCTGAACCTGGTCGGTTGACTTTCTGTCTCTACTTGTTTCAGGTGAGTATTTAACCACCCGAATGGTTGATTTTGTTTGGCTCGCCCGTGGTGTATCGGTATCTCTGGATTGCGGCTTGCCGACCTCTTGTCTGGATGAACGCATGGGGGTTATTCCGCGTTTTCTGGTTGACACTTTTTGGCCGAAGGGCTGAAAATTGCCTTGATCTGACTGCTTGGCCTGTGTTTGTAGCACGGGAGTGCCTTGCACTGATTGACTGACTCCGTCTCATTGAAATGGTGTTTTCAGCCGCTGCTGTTTGACTAAATATAATAATTAAAGAGGGATGCCACTCGAGTAAGTCGGTTGGGTACAGGAGTTCGGTTAATTACACATGGTTATCTTGGTTCGGTTGATTGGTTATCGCTTTTTTATTTCCATCGCTAGTTCCCTCGCATTTGGGTCGATTTATTTCTTTGATTATTTCTTTTCGAATAAGATCGTATATCTCATCCAAGTCGGCGTGGTGGTTTTTTACTAATTTGATTGATCCCCATGCCTCCGAGGATTCGTGGGTGCCTTTAAACTTTCTGTGT